ATCCTCTCAACAAGTTCATTCAACTGTGGAGTCTTGGGGGGCGTCTTCTCAAGTCGGATCCCGGCCGCTCTGCAATATGCATCAAAAGGGCCGCAATACTCACCATCATTGTCAGATCGGACCACCTTCAATTTCTTGGCAGTCTCTCTTTCAACCATTGCATGGAATTCTTTAAATGGTTGAAGTACCTGGTCTTTAGACTTTAAAAAATATACCCACACTTTGTGGGAATGGTCATCAATAAATGAAACAAAATACTGAGCTCCTCCAAGGGATCTTTCCAACATGGAGCAGACATCAGTATGGACGAGGTCAAGAATATACCTGCGTCGTTTTGGTTGATTCGGTCTCACAAAAGAAACCCGGTGCTGCTTTCCAGCTAGGCAGTGCGTGCAACTCTCCAACGCTTGGCCTGTCAACCCGGTCAGTAATCCTTTCTTGTTCAGGATCTGGAGCCCTTTCTCGCTCATGTGGCCGAGGCGCTTGTGCCATAGCTCCAAGCTAGGTTTATCTCAGACAGAGTTAGCTTCTCCGCCATTGATCTTTCCTTGCATCACGTACAAGGAGCCTTCCTTCTTACCTCGGGCCACGACCAAGTTTCCCTTGACCAGCTTCCATCTAACACTACCGAAGTAGTTCACTAACCCGGCATCATCAAGTTTGCCTACCGAGATCAGGTTCAAATGCATGTCAGGAACATGCCTTACATCTTTCAACACAAGTCGGCATCCGACATCCGTGGTCAGAGTTATATCACCGACGCCAACATTCTTGCTGGTCACTTGATTTCCCATCTTCACGACTCCAAAATCACCACCTCGGTAAGAGGAGAAAAAAACCTTTGTATGGAGTAACGTGGAAGGAGGCACCAGAGTCAACAATCCAGATGCAGTCATCATATGCAACATTCAAATAATTATCCTCACCAAGGAGGAATATCTCGGCATCCGGGTTGGCAGCCACTGCAGTGGTGCTCTTGTCTTCCCTCTTCTTGGGAATAATCTGATCCGGCTTCACAGAGCCGTTCTTCTCATCATTCTGCAGGGTTAAGCAGTCTGGCTTCTTATGGGCTGTCTTTCCACCGTAAAAGCACTTCAACTCATATCTCGGCTTTGACCGACCTCTGGACTTTCCTCGTCTATCACGATCTCGACCCCGGGAGTCAGATTTCCCTATGTTCTCAGCAATGTTGGCCTCAGACGTGCTCGAAATACCTCGTTCTCTTCTCCTGGCTTCTTCGCCCAAGAGGTTGTTTGTCACGACATCCATCTTCAATTTTCCATCTGGAGTTGAATTATTCAAGGTCACCACCAGAGTATCCCAGCTTTCTGGCAGTGAGCTCAACAGCAGCAAAGCCTGCATCTCGTCATCAATTTTCATCTCAGCCTTTGACAGCTGATTCACAATACCTTTGTTGGTGTTGAGGTGTTCAATCATAATCATGTCGTCCTTGTATTCAAGCTTCGCAAGTCAGCGAACCAGGTGTGCTTTGTTCCTGGGAGTCTTCTTTTGAATCATGGACTCCAACTTCGTCCACAACTCATACGCGTTCGTGAACTCGGACACGTGCTCAAAGAGGCTCTTGTCAATATATTTTCTGATCGTAGCTACCGCCTTACGACTCTGGATCTCCCACTCCTTATCAATTTTGCCTTCCGGTCTCTTTTCAAGGGTAATGGGCTCATGTAAATCTTTGCAGTAGAGATGATCTTCCATCATCGGTCTCCAATATGTGAAATTGTCTGCGATCAGCTTGAATATGTCTCCATCATTGGTTATGCCACTGGTCTCCATCTCGTCTCCCTCAGAACCCGTCAAACTCGGGCTCTGATACCACTGTTGGGAACTCGGTTCCCTCAAGCTCGGCTAAGCAGCCTTTTGCGAAAGTCAGTCAATGAGATCCTCGATCTCAGATCTCGACAATACCTCGGCCTGAATTTCACCAGTCGGGCAGCGCAGCGAAAAATCAAAACGCAAATAGGAGAGAGATAAGGAGAGAGAGAACGCAAACAGTTTTAACATGGGAAAACCTTCTCCAATAAAGAAGTAAAACCCACGGGACCTAGTCCAGATCAAAATCCACTATGAAAATAATGGTTACAAATAATCAGAATCACCAATGTGGTGGTTAACTCAACCTTTCCAACAATGGTGATAATCAAACCTCCCTAGAGATATTTCACTCAAACTCTCTCTAGAGATCTCTCAAATACAAAGCATAAAACTTTGCTCAAACAATTTTCTCTCAAATTTCTAATCTCTCTCTTAATCTCTGACCTAGCCTCCACCCTCAACTAATGAATATATAGAGGGGGTGAGATCTAAGGTTTAGGGTTTTTAGGAAACCCCTCAATGGGCTTGGGCTTAGCATTGAAGAAGGAAGCCCAACACAAGGATCACAACTAACAGATACCATATATATATATATATATATATATATGAAAAATGATCCATTTACAAATTTTTTTTACAAATTAAACTAAGTATGACCGGTCATACACTCTTGATTGAAGTATGACCGATCATACTTAGTGTAATCTGTAAGAGTTCGTAAACAAAAAGTTTGTAAATATAACTTTTTTATATATATATATATACATATATATATATCAAGTTATTGTTGCTCTAGTATGAGAATAAAAAATCTTATATTTATTTTTGACCATTAATTTACTTTGTGTGCAATGACTCACCAAATTAAAAAATAAAGTCCTCAAATAAAATTGAAATCCGTGAACAAAATTGAGAATATATTTTTTACCATTAATATGTCTGTCACTCTTTATATATATATATTGCCATTTGGAGTTTGATGTGATGTTTTTCTCGTAATACTTCTGCGAAGAGATTTTTTTTTTAACTTTGAAATTCAAATAATCACTTTTAATCAGTGCAACAGACTTACAAAGCACGGACACGCTTTGTTTTTCAAATTGTGTGTGTCGAACACGTTCCGACACATTTCCGACACGCGGTCAATTTTTTGAAACACGCGGTCAACGTTTCAACACGTTTCGACATATTTTTTTCGATACGCAGTCAATTTTTTTCGACATGCGGTCAACTTTCCAACAAGCTTCGGCACATTTTTTTTTAGGTCTTAATTTTATTTTATTTTATTAACTAAATAAAAAAAATAATTTAAAAAATAATTTTTTTTTGTTATGAAATTTGACATAAAAAATTAACAAGGAAAAAATTATTTTTGTTTATATTTATGTTATGAAATTTGAATATTTAATTGATTATATGACTTATTATGGGCTGTTATATATATTAAATATATATTATATTATATATATTAAAAATATTATTTAATATCAAAACGTGTTCCAATGTGTCAAAAAATGACATTTTTTAAAATTAACGTTTCGACGTGTTATGTCCCGTGTCAATGTTGGTGCATGATAGGAACATACAAACTGCACCAATTGAATTAATTTAAATATTATTTGTTTCGAAGTCAAAGACACCAAATAAATTCAGCTTCACCCAGAAAGATAGCTCTGTTTTAAAATCAAACCCATCAAGCCATTTTCTTATTTTGTAGTCAATATTGGCCATTATGAATTTATGATGGTTAAAAGAGGTCCAATTTGATAGGCCGAATGGTTTAATTGCGACAAAAATGTGAATTGGGTTTTTATTTCAGTAGCTCGTTCAAAATAAGATATTTTTGAAGGAATCATTTAGTAACTTCTCTAAAGATTAATGTGTTTAAAAATATAAAATAATTAGCAAATTTTTCCTTTTTTGCCATCGTTTTAGTTTCCCTTAAGAACGAATGCGATGGCATTTTAGATCTTTAAATGAATAATTTGATAAAAAATATATTAAAAGATGAATATGATGCAAGTTAATAATTAAAAGATTAATTTAAAAGTTTACCTGATATTTTTTTATTTGTCTTTTTTTATCATAAATTAAAAGAGTCTATATTAAAAGACATTTGAATAAAAAACCGTGTTATTTTTATATTAATATATTTTTAAGTAAGGATAATTGATATTGGATTTGGATGGTCAAAATTTAGGATTACTTTGAGTAGTTGAGTGAATTAAAAATATGATTTTTTTATTTTATTTTTAAAAATTATCATTTAAACTAGGGGTAAGATATTATAACAACCAATTAGTATTACTACCAATCAATTTCACCGTTAGATCGATTATGTTAATTCAACGGTTATATTTATTTCCACCTTTGTATGATTATGATTTTTCATATTTAATGTTTTCACATTAAAAATCATAACCATACAAAGATGGAAATAAATATAACCATTGGATCATCATAATCGATCTAACAGTAAAATTAATTGGTAATAACACTAATTGATTATTACAACATCCTTCTCCTTTAAACTATATGCATGTTCAAACCTGGATCTAGTAAACATTAAAGCGAAAGTTTGTAAAACTAGATGTGGCAGTAACATGCTCTCTCTCCCACCCATCTTAAAACGAGTCAATCAATCTCACCCCATTTTAAGAAGTGAGTTAAAATTCACAACTTATCCCGTTCCTCCTCCAACTCGTCTTGTCCCACCAACCTGCCTACATATTAAAAATGTGAAAAAAAAAAAATTAAAACCTATAGTCCCCATAAATATAAACGGTATGAAATGAAGATCAAATGAGTGCAAAAAAATCAACAATTATTGACTAATTTTTTCTTTTAAAAAAATAAGATCAAACTAACGGGTTAACGCACTCCGCAGCAGGTTCAACCCATTTTGACCTACTCTTAGGCGGGACAAATTCAAACGGGTTGATAAGTAGGGATCCCAACCCAACCTATGTGTCGGATCAAACCGTCAAATCCAACAAATTTGACCCGTTTTGCCAACTTTAAGAACGATAAAATCATAAAAGAAGCACTTATCCAGAATCCAGATGACAAATTGTATACCATTTATCATCTTTTAACAGTGCATCCATTGACACACGCCAACCAAATTGAAATGTGGCCAAATGAATAAGTAATAATTTGGCTGGAGAATCTGGTGTGAATGTCAAAAGAGTATGATCTTCCAAACAATTTGAGAGATTTCTTTAAAAAATAAATAAGCATTCAATTTGAATCACATTTGTGGTGTTCAACAATGGGCCATTATGATTCTATGCCAGTGGCAACCAAAAAATGTTCCTCAGAGAAAGAATAGCACCAATGGCTGCTATACTCAATGCTAGTAGTAACAGCCATGCAATTTTTAAGGAGCTCTGTCAAAAGGTTGTGTATCATTGTAACAGACATCCCATACTGCTTCCATTGAATCCTTGGCAGCTAAACCAAAGCAATTGGGATTTAAAGACAGTGATTGCATAACTCTTCTTCTGACACATTCCTTCAAGTTCCATTACATCAATTAATTCAGTATTGAACAAATTATAGTAAACATAATGACTAAAATATAAAATATACAAGAGCAAAGAGAGAAGAGCATGGCTACTGCAACTGATTAGCAAGAGACATAAACTTCCATGCTTATGAACAAGAGAGCCTAGTGTTATTTTTCTATCTCAAGGATGAACATGGTATATTGAATATTAGGAAAAAGCACTACTAGTCACCTGGCACTGTAGGTTATGTTTGAGGAAGAGCAGGATCCTACTAAAAGATTGTCAATTTGGATAGTTTGCAAAGCACCTTTAACCACTTTGATGGTGTTAGATTAGGAGTTTTGAGCTCTATAAATAAATTTCATTGGGTTAATTTCATGTTCCTGAAGTGTGAGGGGATGCACATGAAGCAAAGTTTAAGGGCTACTACGAGTAATGTCCCTTCAAGTATAAAGTCAAACCAGTACTCTTGGTGATTAACTCCCTCTAACTTACAATTTTGTATCCCCGCTTATCTCATTCAACAACATGGTGTCAACAAAAGATATGAATCAACTTATGAAAGGGCAAGCAAAGTATGGCTCCTAAGCACAAACAGCAGAGTATTTGGTATGACTAGCATAGATGACCAAGTTTAGTCCAATCTGAAATTCAAGATAGCTCTACAATTATTTCTTCTCTGATGATGATGGCATTCACTAACCACTAAAAAACAACACAGGATTAAAAGAGATAGAAAAAGAAAATAAAAAAAACGTGTTGTATACTACCCATTCATATTCTATATTTCAGCAACAGGAAAATTATGCAATAAGACAATTGCACTAATATCTGGTAAACAGACGAAATTCTTATTACAATCCCAAGAAAATGATGCCAAATCTTCAAAACCTGACATGGATGACTTCAATTGGCCAGTGATTTTATGGCTTCCAATTTTCTCGTTTTAAACCTGTAAACTAATCCTCAGTTTTGATCAAATCATATCCAACATACTTATATTTATCAGATCTGTAATAGTTTCAAACTCCAACAGAAAATCTTCCAACAACAACATTGGTAGTACTGTTGTGCACGTGATTAGAATGATTCAACCAACAAGTGGGGTGGTCATTTATGGACTGCCTCTGAGTAATTTGGAAATCAACTAACATGAGGATTTACTTTTCTTTATCTTAATCTTCTAATAATGCACTAATTGCTTACATGGGTGACATTAGAGGCGGCCTCCAATGTTATATAATAATGACTGTATTCCTCATTTTTATTATTTGGTTATATAATGAAGAGAATAAGCTGGTAAAACTGTTCATTTGTGACTGAAAGGTCATGGGTTCAAATATGGAAAACAGTCTCTTTGCAATTATGCAAGGTAAGGCTACGTACAAGGATTGTTCTCATTCCACCCTTGCTAGTCAGGATATAATGGGGAGTAGTTTTGGTTTGGGTTTTGGTTTTTGTTATCCTTGTAGATCTGATGTGATTATCAGTTTCAAAATATTTTAAGTGCAACAGTTGTTTAAATATTTAGTCCTAATCCTCCACGTGTACATGCAAGAAACTTGAGGGATGCTTGATATTACCAATGCATATCTCAAAAAATTTAAAACTTTTGAGACTAATGCTTCTGTGGAAGACTTTAGTTAACTCTAATACTTTCTCCTTTTTTCCAATTGATTTCTAGATATTGTGAATTAAAAAGTAACCATGAAAAGCTGCTAAATGTAATCTATAAAAAGATTGAACCAAAATCAATGGTTTTTATCAATGGAGAAGGAAAATAAAAAGTGTACCTCTCCTTGCCCTCGTAATTTCATAAAACCTCTTAGCAGTTCCCGCTTGTAATGACAATCACCACTTAGATGAGCAGCTCGTATCTGTTTCGCAAGATCAAAAATAAATATTGATTAGTTGAGAGTAAGATATAAAAACTCATCTAACGTAATATGGATTAGGACAAATTGTAAGATAGGAACCTCACTACAAGCATGGTGTGCACAATCATCCCAATCCAAGTTGGCAGCACGACAGTCATCAAATGCATGAATTAGCTCATGAGTTACCACCCGGTTGACCTGATCTTGAATTCGTATATTATTGCTGCACACTCTCACCTGGGACAAAGAAACACCAATAAAGGAGAAAGTGAATAGTAGCCAATTGAAAACCTTATTATGCAACCAAAGGAAGCATTGACCACAAAACTAATTCAACCACCAAAATAAGCAAACAGGTTTAGAATTGAGAGCTTATTTTCTTCACAAAATGCAAGAGTTAAATCAGCTACTTAATTGTACACATAGAAGTATAATTTCAATGCAACAAGAGGCTAAACATAATTAACACATAAAGTTCTCATCAAGGAAAAACAGAATTAAAAATTTGTTAGAATAAAAAAGACCAATAGAGAGAACTAAAATGGACAATGAAATAAGTACCCCTTCACCAGGAATGTAAGCACCAGCCGCTGGCTGGTCGCAAATAACAGCTTTGAAAAAATTGTCTTGTACACCACACCCAGCTTTCTCCAAGCGTTCTCTCAAAAACCTCACCATTGGAGCTGCCAAAGAACAATGAAATGAATCCACCAAGTAACAAATTATCATTTACAACTGATTCCTCAATGAAAAATTGCATTTCCAATGGTGATGAAAGTGTGATTATTTATTTAACTTTTTCAAGCAAATATTCAGAAATCTCCAAACCCCCAATTCGAAAATAAACTTTTAGAGAATAATGAAATGAACCCACAAAAGCAATATGAATCAGAACACACCCCATAAACCTTTTTTTTTCCTTCCCTAACACTGATTGCACAGAAAAAAGGTAGTACTTTCAAAGGGTGAAATTTGAAAGTTCACATTTTTCTTCAGCAAATACTCAAAATTTAAAAAACCCAATTTGAAGATAAACCTCATTAGCGAGAAAAAAGGGGATTAAACTTAAAAAAAATAAATAATAAGAGTGGTATAACAAAACCCTAAACCCTAGTAAGATGTGTCAGTATATTGATCGAGAAAGGTAAAAAAGGAAAATGAAGAAGGAAGAAGAATTGAAATACTTCGTAAACTCTTGTGAATCATGGCTTGGCATTCCTCGACAGTTTTGGTTCCTTGGCTATGAACAGAGGAAGTGGGTTTCTCTTCCATTGCTTCGTTTCAGTTGGAGGTTTTTTGTTTGATCCAAAGTCTGAAGTTTCATCAGACTGATAAAATTATGGGCTTTGGTTTCCTCAGGATCAATTTTTTTTTTTTTTTCACTACGAAAGAAACGACAAGTTAAATAATAATAAAAGAAGTTGAGGAGGCACTGTCTTCGATAACAAGTTTAACATGATTTTTGAGAAAAATGTTTATTTTTTTAAATGACATAATTTATATTATTTTACTCTTACAAAGAGAAGTGAGACTCACGTTTTTTTTTTTTTTTATCCTCTTTCTTTTTCATGATTTATCTCTTTCTTTCAGTTAAAATGACACAACTTTACATCCTTTAAAATAACACACATCTTTCCCTTCTTATTTATCCCTAAAATTATCTCTACAAACCTCAAAAATTATATCGAGAATTGAAAAAATTAACAAAGGATATTTTGATGAAATTTATATAATGAATAAATGAATAATAGTTTTAATAATTTATTGCATAACTCTTCTTCTCACACATTCCTTCAAGTTCCATTACATTACATTAATTCAGTATTGAACAAATTATAGTAAACATAATGACTAAAATATAAAATATACAAGAGCAAAGAGAGAAGAGCATGACTGCTTCAACTGATTAGCAAGAGACATAAATTTCCATGCTTAAGAACAAGAGAGAGAGCCTAGTGTATTTTCTCTATCTCTAGGATAAAGCACTACTAGTCATCTGGCACTGTAGGTTATGTTTGAGGAAGAGTAGGATCCTACTAAAAGATTGTCATTTTGGATAGTTTGCAAAGCACCGTTAACCATTTTGATGGTGTTAGATTACGAGTTTTAAGCTTTATAAATAAATTTCATTTGGTTAATTTCATGTTCCTAAAGTGTGAGGGGATGCACATGAAGCAAAGTTTAAGGGCTACTTGGAGTATATATATGTCCTTTCAAGTTTAATCCAATCTAAAATTTAATATAGCTGTACAATTATTTCTTCTATGATGACAATGGCATTCACTAACCATTAAGTGCAACAGCTAGTTGTTTGAATATTTACTCATAATCCTCCACATGTACATGCAAGAAACTAGCAGACTAATGAAAAGCTGCGGGATGCTTGATATTACCAATCCATGTCCCAAATGTGGAAGACTTTAGTTAACTCTAATACTTTCTCCTATTTCCAATTGATTTCTAAATATTGTGAATTAAAAAGTAACCATGAAAAGCTGCTAAATATAATCTATGAAATGATTCAATTAAAATCAATGGTTTTTATCACTATTAGAAGGAAAATAAAAAAGTTTACCGGTTCATGCCCTTGTAATTTCATAAAACCCCTTAACAGTTCGCGCTTGTAATGACAAGAACCACTTAGATGAGTACCTCGAATCTGTTTCACAAGATCATAAAGAAATATTGATTAGGGGAGGGAGAGTAAGATATAAAAAACCAATCTAACATAATATGAATAAGGACAAATTGTAAGAAAGGAACCTCACTACAAGCATGGTGAGCACAATGAGTCCAATACAAGTTGGCAACACGACAGTCATCAAATGCATGAATTAGCTCACAAGGAGTTGGGTCATACCCCAGATCCTTGGTAGAGTAGGACTTGTTACCTACCGGCTTGCCTTGCCTCCGAACTTAGCCAACATCCACGACGTATTTCACGTATCTCAACTTCGCAAGTATGTAGCGGATCCTTCGCACGTGGTGCAACCGGATGATGTGGAGGTTCGGGAGAACTTGAAAACTCTCGTCGGACCACTCAAGATTCTCGATCGTGGCGAGAAGCAGCTGAGGAGCAAGATCATTCCGATGGTCAAAGTGCAATGATCAGGAAGAACTCATGAGGAGTGTACCTGGGAGCGAGAGGATGAGCTTCTCCGGCAGTATTCCGATTTTCGAGACAGGTATATTCTGATTTTGAGTGCAAAATCCTAAAAAGGTGGGGTGAATGTAAGAACCTGCACCGTTAATTAAGGAAATTAATTAATTAATTATGTGAAATTAAGAAATAATTCCATAATTGACCCTAATAATTATTATGAGGCTCTAATAATTATAGTAAGTGAGTAAGAATGCTGAAAGTCGCTTCTCGGAAGAAAAGTGCAGATACCGATTCTGCTAGTCGGTATAAATGCGTACCGAAAAAAGTATCCCGGAAAATTATAATAAGTGCATGATAATTACTAGAATAATATGTAAGACTTGGAAAACGAGTTTCAAGTCAATATAATGAGAACTCGTGCCAGAAACTGATACTGGCTATGAAAAGCGCGTACCGGAAAGATGCTCTGAAAAATATAATAAAATATGATAATTCTTGTAAAATTGAGTAGTTTAAGAATCCAAAGTTTGGGATTAAAATTCTAAGTGTAGAAATTAAATTTAATACTGTGTGTTTTATGGTTAAGTGGCTATATATACACTCATTATTGGGCACAAAACCCTAGAACCCTACTCCTACGTGACTCTCTTGGTGGCTGAGTGTTAGTGCATTGTTCCATTGGCTTCTCCTTCATTTCTTGAGTCAAGTGGTCACATTTGCTCCATTTCTTCTTCTCTTTTGTTGTGTAAACACCTTGGTTGGGTGTGATGGTCACTTGTGAGTGGGAGAGGAGCTTATGTTCTGAGTTGTGTTGCTGTCTTGTGAGCTTGAGGTGCTGTCTTAGTGAGCTGGGGGTTGTGGAGTCATCTTCTTGGTTTGTGAAGCTTCAAGGAGCTTCCTTTGTGAAGAAAAGGCCAAGCTTGGTGGCATTTTCGTGGTCTTGTGTAGTCAGTTTGTTGGGGCTGGTTATGAGCTCCAAGAGTAGCCCTTGTTTATGCTTTGAAGCCTTGAGTATGTACCTCAACTTGATAATGAGTTTTTATGCCTAAAAATGAAACATTGATGCATGTAATGGTTAAAAGATGATAACCTAACTTGGGGTAATGTCAAACACACCTAGAAATGCATGTTTAGGCTTCTGTAATCGGTAAAAATGGTACCTTTGAAGGATATCTTCGCGAAAATGCAGAAACTGCATTCTGTCGTGAAATATCCGGATATTGCCCGTGAAATATCCGGATATTGATATCCGGATATGGGTATCCGGATATGGGGATCTGGATATCCGGATATTGGATATCCGGATATTGACAGTGAGATATCCGGATATTATCAGTGAGATATCCGGATATTGGATATCCGGATATGTCCCAGAGGAATATCCGGATATTATGGGTTTGCGAGGAACAGTAGCGTACTGTTCATCCAGAACTGATCTACGGGTTTGTGTAAGGGTGTCAAAACGGGTTGACACGACACGAAACGAATTCGACACGACACAAATACATCAACACTAACACGACACGAATTTTTATTCGTGTCAAAATCTTCAACACTGACACGACACGAATTTTTTGCGGGTTGACACGACACGACACGAATAACACGCAAAATAGGGGTCAAAATGGTAATTGACAAAAAAAATTTAAAAAAATGGATCGAAATTAAAAAAAATTAAAAAATTAAAATAAAAAAATAAAAAATAAAATAATTTTTAAAAAATACAGGTCGACACGAACACGAATACATCAACACGAACACGACACAAATTTTTTACGTGTCATTTTTCCCAACACGAACACGACACGAATTTTTTTGCGGGTCAACCCGAACACGAATTTTTGTGTCGTGTCGTGGGTCGACCCGCGTGTCAAAACCTATATTGACACCCCTAGGTTTGTGGACCCTAGTTTGAGGAAGTTGAACTTCTGTAATTAATTAATATAAGTCAGAATCAAATGAATAAGGGCTTATGGCTTGTGTGAAGCCTTAAGACGTAAAACGTAATGGAAATACGTTGTCTTAATATTGTATGCTTGCGGTGCATGTTTATTGATATATTATTGGTCCATAACAGATTGTGAATCTGCTGTGTTTGGACTTTGAGCTGTTGACTCTTGGCTTTGGGTGTTAGTTTGCAAGGTAAGCTTTCGTGTTCTCGGTTTAGCTATATTGTGGTTCCATCATGTCCCATGGGGGTATGGTTATATGCATGTTGTGTTACATGCTTTGAGATATATGAATTGATGTTGAGCTTTATGTGTTAATGGCTTTTAATATGCATGTGTTGTTCCATCTTAACGTTAAGCCTGAGTATGTGGCGTCATACAAGATGGTGATCCGGTGTTGATGCAAGTAGCGCACTAATTGTGGGTAATAGACGTATACTTATTCCTGCATTTCTCTGGCCAGTAGAATAGTATTGACACACATGACATGATTATCGGCTGCATTACACTGTTTCAAAAATGATATTGATGAACTACTTTTAAACTTATATTGCACATGTAAGTGAGCTTGGGGTGGAAGATCCTTGAGGACCCCTTGCCTTACTGAGATTTCTTGTTTAGAGATCTCACCCCACGTTTGGGGAATGCTTATTTCAGGTTCAGGTAGTATGGTGACTGATGCCTCTGGCGGCAGGAGGCTAGAGCTTAGCTGATTATGATATTACTGCTTATTTTCCAGCATGATTGGACTGGTTGCTGTTTATGTTTTCCGCTTTATTATTATGTTGTTGATGTTGAGACTTATGTTGGGCTTTGTTGCCTTATTTGGGTGAGCATGGGAGTTGTCCATGCTACTATGTTGTTAGTGCTTTTGAGTTGTATAAACTGATAATTGGTCCGGTCTACGTGTTGTAGTTTCGTGACTAGAGCCATTCATTGTGTTGTTTTAATGAATGAGGTATTTCAGTTAGCTGTTTTATTGCAATTGCATATAGGCGATGTTTTATTAACTGATTAATAAGCAAGTTGGTAATGATAATGACTTCATAATTGAAAAGAAAAAGATATTCCGCATTTTTAATAAGCACAACTTAATACGATAGTATGATAAAATTACCGGATATATACAGGGTGTTACAGGATTAGTTAGTAGTTGTATGTTTTAGATTTACGCTTACGCAATATCTCATGTGAACGATTTTGGAAATATTTTTAGAAAATATTTTGGAAAAAGTTAACTCATATTTTTATGAGGCAATTTTATACTTAATAAAATAAAGTCTTCCGCTGTGTACGCTA